ACGTGCCTGCATTTTACTTAACGGCAGTAGCGTTTCATCGACATGCGCAGCAGCTTTGTCCCGGTGTGAACATTCTCGAAAGCCGCATTGTAGATACAACGGCGGCTCTTCTGCTTCCTCTGGTTCCTCCAGCCCGTCTAGCACGATCGAGACATCTCTTGTGAAGTGCGATAATGCCATCGTTTTTGCCTGGTCACCTCCATGACTTTATGTGGCGTCTTGGATGAAGAGTATTCCCAACACGGGACAGACTGGAGAAGTGGGGCATGGTCCCATCTTCCACTTGTCCTAGCTGCCCGTTACAGGAGTGTAACCAGCATATGCTGCAGCAATGTGTCATTGCAAAGGTGTTTTGGAAGTCTCTTAACGTTAGTTTCCGTGGCCTAAGTGTTAGTCGCTTTGCAAAATCTGGTCACTGCTGTCGTTGTCGCTTTGCAGGCCTTCTAATAGCTGCGCAAGCTTTTTGTTGGTGGCGTTGTTGTTGTGCGAGGTGCGAGGTTGTTGCAGCAGGTCATCGTCGCCGAGCTCTCTTTCCGACTCTGGAACGCTTATACTCTGAACTTTTATCGTTTCTGTCGGAGGAATCGTTCTTCCTTGGGGAAGAATTTCTGCGACAATGGTCATGCTGCTTTTTGTCCGTAGTTGACGGACGTATTCGATTAGTCTTCTACCTGGCTTGGTTGCTATGGCCAGGTCACCTGTCAATGTCTGATTAGCAGATGTAATCTGTATGTGTTTACTATTTCTATGTGTTTCTGTATGCCATGTATGGGTGTGAGTTTTTGTATATATGCCCTTCATTCTAACGCTGTAACTTATCTAACCTTTACGAATATTAACAGCTGTTGTACATATTGCCTAACGTCTTCACCAAGTCTTGTAAATTGTGTACATATACCATCATGTCCATATTGTGAATAGTGTATATATGTAGCGTATGTAGTTATTAGTACGAAAGACTATGGACAACCTACGGACTTGGGCACTTTTTTTAAAAGTGTAATATAATTGTGCTTTGTCATTTGTTTCTTATTGTGCTTGTTGTACAGACGCTCGTTCCATGGGTTTGTAGCGTCCCATGATAGAATAAACGTTTTCTAAACGTACTCTGAATCGTTACCCACTTTTTCTGAACACACAAAGTTTATTGACAGTGGAGTGTGCGGGCTTCACATCGCTGCGACGTCTGAGGTCCACGGGACGGCTTCAAGCTCTCCCATAGTAGAATATTGAGTGCTCTAAATCGTTATCACTTTTTCTAAACACCAAATTTGGCCCACAGGACGGCCTGGTGCTCTCCCATAGTACAGTACCAAGTACTCTAAATCGTTCACCAGTTTTTTCTAAACACCTCTAAAAGTGTGAGGCACACTGGACGGCTTTATGCTCTCCCATATTAGAGTACCAAGTACTTTAAGTTGTTAATTAGTTGAAAGGTCAAGCTCCTTATGCCGTGGGTTTGTCTTTTCTAGCTCGTTGTGGTCAGTGGCCGCCTAGTTTTAGACTCTTTCAGCAGGTGCGGACGGGTGGACAGACAGGCAAATGGATGCTCGCACATACGCACTCCCGCTTCGCCCCACTCATCATCATTCACTCCGTGGATATGCTGTGATTTTTTTCAGCACCTCGCACTTCAGCCCCTCACCACACCTACGCGTCACAACGCGTCAGCGCGGAGCTTTCTCTCTCTCCCATTGAGGGAGAGGACGTGAATCTACATGTAGCTTCGCTCGTTCTCACTTTACAGGAACGCGACTCCCACTCTCCACCCCCCGCGCTGACGCATTGTAAGACGTACGTATTGTTCGGGGTCTAAACACGTTATGCCGATCCAAGTAGAAGATAACCCAGGCTTGAATTAAAACTGCTCCCCCAAGTGGTCTGATAGACCCCGTGATAACAATGAAACAACGTTCTTTGTCTGGCACGTTTGATTTGAGCTTAATAAATGTTTAGGAGATTCAAGCTTTGCTGAGTGGAGATGAATTCTGCAACGCCGAGCTATATTATAGCCCGGCTGTCGCGGATGGTCGTACGGTTTGTCGCAAATGGCGCGTTTCAACCGAGTGTCCCCGCATGTAGGATAATTAAATGACTGTACCTTGTAGGGCACTGGGGATTCGAGGAACGAAAGCGAGACACTTCGCCCCGAAGAATGGACAGAACAAAGCTTTACGGCGGAGAACTGAAACCGATCTATAACAATTCCAAGCGAACAATGCTATATACGCTCCCAGATGTCCAGCTCCATTAGATGGGCAGATATAAATGACTCTCTGTAAGAGAGCGCCACCAAGGGATAGCGCGACGTGCGCACAGTCTTCCTAACGGTCGTTTCTGCTCTTTGTACAAGAGCCCGGCTTTTATGAACAGTTTTGTCGAACTACTGTTTACAGGTACGCTGGGCCTATTTTAAATGCGAAGTATTTCTTAGCGAACTTCTGCGAGTTTGAGCATATCTATCTATCTATCTATCTATCTATCTATCTATCTATCTATCTATCTATCTATCTATCTATCTATCTATCTATCTATCTATCTATCTATCTATCTATCTATCTATCTATCTATCTATCTATCTATCTATCTATCTACCTAACCACCTACGACTTTTAGCTCTCCTGGCCGTTTGAATAATGCTATCCATACGAAACTTGGAATGGCATAACATGACTGCATGACGAGAATATCTGACTAGTCATAACATGAACATCATGAAATGTATGTCATAAATGTCATGCTTTACATTTCATCGTCTTGCTGCTCTTGCGGTGGTTTCGTTCACATGACAAGTTGCAAAACTGGTATGGTATGACATGATTGCATGGCGAACAAAAGCGACAGACCCTAACATGAAAGTCATGATATGCGTGTATTGTAACAACATGAATACATGCCGCGCTCATGATGCGCTCGCGGCCTTCGCTAGCGTCACATATACCAAATGTGGTATTACGGTACGTGAATAGAACCTTAAGAGACAAGAAGAGAGCAGAGTGGATTAGGGAACAAACGGGGGTTAAGAAGATCATAGCTGAAATCAAGAAGAGGAAATGGACATGGGCCAGGCATGTAGCGCGTAGACAGGATAACCGCTGGTCATTAAGGGTAACTGACTGGATTCCCAGAGAAGGCAAGTGAGTTAGGAGGAGACAGAAGGTTAGGTGGGCAGATGAGATTAAGAAGTTTGCGGGTATAAATTGGCAGCAGCAAGCACAGGACTGGATTAACTGGCGGAACATGGGAGAGGCCTTTGTCCTGTAGTGGACGTAGTCAGGCTGATGATGATGATGAGGTGAATGGATGACGAAGGTATGTGACGGGTGCAAACATGATAAACATGAGATGCGTGTCATGTAACAACATGACTACATGCTACGCTCATCATGCGCTCGCGGCCGTTTCGCTAGGTTCACAAGTATGAAATTCGGCATAACGTGACGCGAACGGGCACCACGTAATTGCAGCTCCCATAGACACTAGCGCCAGAGTTCTCTCTAGTGTATATTGGGAAACTCTATGCTTAAAAAGAAGGCTATGTTTAACGTTGTAGCTCTTTTATATCTGAGGTCAGACACCTGCTGAATATGTACAATTGGTATCTCCCTTCACAATTACTAACAATTGTTTTAGAATACTTTTGTGATTGGCTGTAGTTCTTAGACATACATGTCGGTTCTTGATGGTTATGGTTCGCTAATGTAACTTTTATTTTTAACAGCAGTGCGCCTTTTATCTTATCTGAATATAATAATTAGGCCCTCAACGAGATTTCTTTTTTAGTTTAGTGCTCGGCAGCACACACCACAAGGATAGCCAGCTTAATTCAAGAAATAAAGAGAGCAAAAAAACTTTTTTCAAAACATTACTGTTTGGTTTATTGTAAGTGGAGACCCTCTTGCAAGTCCTCATTGAACACTGCGGCTCGCCGACTCTGGTCGAAGGCCACCGATTGGCTGTTCAAGATCATTTTAGAGAGTGGCGCCTTTTAGAAACAATTCTTGGGCGTGTGAATAACTGCCGGTGAGAGGGCTTCCCCATCGAGAAATCTCATGTGAAACATATGATGCACATTCAACTACCTCACACGATCATACGAGAACACACATGATTCATATTTGTTCATACGAGATGATTGAATATGTGGCAGAAGTGTGATATGAGAAAATCTTGCTGGTGTTTTCCGCCTCAGTGTGTCAATGAACCCACAAAATTGATTTGAATGAACGCCGAGTCACAACGCTTTTTCTCTGTCAAGTACTTGCAATACAAAACTTTCGGTTTTCCAAACGATCAAAAAAAAGCCGTCTAGACAATCAATTTCGCAAAACATTATTGTTTTCATTCAATAGTTACACTGAGTTATCACGCGGGAGCATATACCTAGAATAATGGCAAGCTGGTGGCCAGAATAGTTAATCAAATAATTCATTCAATAGGGCTTGTTGATGAGCTAGTTAGTTCATTAGCTAAGAAAACTATTGCGGTGAAAAAAAAACACAGGAGAAGAAAACACATTGACCCACAGACACGGGAGCCAAGTTCAAACTGTTTGAAAACAAGAACCGCCGTTATTTACATATGCTACCAAACAAGGTATGTATAGTTGAGTGAACAGCAAATCACATACCGATTGATGAACGAACAGCAAATCGTCATGAAACACAAAAGAAGGGTCGAAACATGCGCTGAGATGCAACACCATACCAGCAGCGTATCGTGTACTTGCGTCGTCCCTGTGTTATGGTGTGTCCTGAATGTTTTTGTTTTTCGACTAATCAACTTAGCATATTGAAAAATTATGAGTAGCATGGATGGTTGCACCATCTAGCGGAACATATCTCACCTACATATTCCTTTTTATTTAGCCTCCGTGAACCGCTATGGCAGTATGACTGAATATAAATTTCGTCCTATCGGCACATCAGGGGACTCCAATGGATGTTGCGTCGTGAACTGGAGTGGTCTCGGAACTGTCTTGCTCTTTGACACGCGCAGGCATGAGCCCCCACGGGTCACTGCGTGGTCGCAGTGCGGGCACCGGCTCCTTCCTCAGCGTCACCGGTTCGCACGAAAAGACCAGTTCCAGTGCCAGCGTGAGCCCCGATGCGTCAGCGACCAACAAGTACCGGCTGGTCGTGCTCGGCGGTCCTCGCGTCGGCAAGTCGGCCATCGTGCACCGCTTCCTGCACGACAGGTTCCTGCACGACTACAGCGCCACCGTCGAGGAGTTCCACCGCGGCGAGTACGACGTTGGCGGTGGCGCCACCGTCGCTCTCGACATTCTCGACACCGGCGGGAGCTTTGAGTTCCCCGCCATGCGTCGCCTCGCTATCGACTCAGGTGAGTGCGCAGCATCCAGGTAAAAAATGTACACAGAGAAAACAATTTTTCTTGTGCTAGCAAAAAGTTTCATTTAGACGTGGGCAAGTTTAAAAGGGAGAGGGGGTCAGCGTCCCTCTCCCTCTTTAATAGCAAATCAATACTTTGACGTTGCACTGGCTACTGATTATACTACAAGGGTCTCAGTGGGACGCGCACAAGGTAACGTTTTCTTGAAAAGTCGTAAGTCATAAGCCAACTAACCCAAAGATAACTTTCTGCTTGTGCCATTTCTCACCCGCCTATGCTCCTACACAATGCTAGGAACACCACGCTATTTATAGGTGAGAACACGCGTTAAGCTTGGAACTTCTCGTGGCGTCGTCACCTTGGATTCAGTGCACCATTAACCATGAGGCCATAAATATTGATGACGTTCACTAGCACCTTGATCTGTGAGAACGAAGTACATTCTCTTCTGAGAGAGCCAAAGCTTCGTCTTATGAACATTAAACAAATTTCAATGAGCCAATGTGGGCAGAATACAAAACAAAAACTGAACACTACTATCCAGGACTTCCACGTCAGCGAATATCAGCAGGTAAATTTCAAATTGAAGCTTCTGACAGCATTGGATTGACTAACTATTTCTTTCGTTCCCCTTCCTCTCCTGCACGCCCGTTCATTCATAGGTGACGCCTTCCTTCTCGTGTACGCGATCGACGACCGCGATTCCTTCGAGCTGGTGCGCAAGCTGCGCGACGACGTGCTGGCTGCTCGCAAGGCGCCCCCTATCGTCGTGGTGGGCAACAAGATTGACCTCGAATCGCATCGCCAGGTCCAGTCACAGATGGTCGAGCCGATCGTCTGCATAGACTGGGAGCACGGCTGGGTCGAGTGCTCAGCAAAGGACAACACAAACATCGCCAGGGTCTTCCAGGTACGCTGCCTTTACCAAGGGAGTGATGACCTCCGTTTATTCGAGACAGCGTTAACCTTGTGTCGTTATTACAACTTTCTGGGCATGATCATTGGCTAGCTGGGCATGGTCACTTGCACTTCTATGTTGCCCCTCCCTTAACGGTACGGGCAGTGCCAGAGTTTTTTTTTTTTTTACAGTGGGGCACTCACGACAAGTGTGTTTATACGCACGTGTGGTGGGGCGTATGCTGGCAGGAACCTCATGTGTTATGTATTGCTAGTGCTTGTGTTGGGATTGACAAAGGTCGTGAGCCGGAAATAGAGGCGCATTTTCGTATTCCTCTTTTAGAAGTTCCAATAAATGTGGTTGTAAAGAGGAATTCTTCAACATAGAATGTTGACAGAGCCAGACCTTGCATAGAAATACTTATCGGGCACAATTCAGCCTGTCAAAACATTGGCTCCAGAGACGTTCCCTGCTCACCGCTTCAATTCTCACCATACTTGTCAACTTATGCCTCTTTCGGATTTTCACTGGCATTAAGTATTACAATTAGGCCCCACGCCCTAGATTTCTCATAAAACAAGGAATGTTTTTCATTTGTACTTCTGTCCTAAACAAGAAAAAATGAAACTTTAATTTCCAACTTATCTTTAAAATCTAGCTACCTCGCTGTCAATCTTTCATGGTAGGTATAGTCATAGATTGTAGGTTTTACTGTACTTATCTTCGTCGATAGTGTCGAGTCAGTAGGAAGGGATGCACAAAACAATCACCCTGCGAATACGTCTTCATGTCGGCGGACGGCAAACATTCAGGACGTTCTTATCACGTGTACGGTGATTGTTACGAGAGGCGGGAGAGAGACCTGAAGGAGGTCGACGTGGCCTTGCGTGTGTCACCACTATATTTCAAGGGCCGAAGCAGAGCGTCGGTGGCTGCAGGCGTCTAAAACACCAGCATCATGAGCTCATTCTTATCTGGCTCACACCTCGAGCTTGAGGACGAGCTGCACGAGAGGTGTGGCATGGCGGTCGGAAAATAGTGATGATCAATAGCGATTAAGATGTCGTTAACAGAGAAGTAACATAGCAGGACGTGAAAATGACGTCTTCGCACGACACGGTCGCTTGCTCAAACGTGGGCTAATGCAGGAAGGAGCGCTGCGAAACCCCGTCAACAATTCGAAGCTGCGATAGCTCCCATCCTTGAGCAAGTGCGAAACCATGATGGTTACAGAGAGTTTTCTAAGGATGTGTAGTCGATCAATACAATCACCTGGAAAGAAAAAGCGAAAGAAGGAGAAGAAGACTAAGATGGCTTTCACTTGAGAGCTGTCTCTGGCACATGCATAACGGACAATGCCAGTTAAGCAGTTTTCGTTCTTTTTTTACACCTCAACCAAAACTGTTGGTTAACTACGAATTTCCAGTTCTCCTCTGAAGAGTGAATCAAACAGCCTGAGGCTACCATCTTCATGGCGCCAATCACCATGGCGTAAGCATTTCAATGGGAACCAGTGCCATAGCCCGGCTCTGGCTGCATGTAGCGGCGTTGCCCGCAATAACAATCCTGGGTGACAAAGGGGCACGTCCAGTCAGTCATGCGCGTGCTCAGTATCTTAGGGCGTATTCTTTCAAGGGGCGCCTTACAAAGCCATTAATAATTGCGTAAGTAAAATGCGCACCAGCCGGAATGCGGACTTCGATCAATTCGCTCCGGTACGAAATGCGGTTGCGCACAGCGCGTTGCGCTCGGGGACTCGTTGAAAACGGCCTGACCTTTCCGGTACAAAGGCCACTCTGCGTATCCAAATGCGTCGGGATCAATAAAGAATCCCGGAAACGCTCCGATGATATTGTTTTCCTGGGTACAATGCGCGGTTATGACGTTTCGAGGCACTGGGTTAGTAAATTCAACGAGCGCGTAGTTTATGTCCCTGCTATGCTCGGAGACGCAGGTTCAAATTCCAGCCATGGCGACCAGGCCCTCTTTAAGACCACCAATATACAGACATTTCGTGCACTGTTAAGTTTTATATTAATATTTGTTGGTATCAATTGTCCCAAAACCATAATTTGTTTATGAGAAACACCGTAGTGGAGAGCACTGGTAATTTTGACCACCTGGGCTTTATGGTGCCTTTAAACATAAGCAGACGGGCCTCAAGAGTTTTAACCTCCATCAAAAATGTGCCGGGATTCGTTCCCACGACCTCTAGGTCAGCAGCTGTGTGCCTTAGTCACTAGACCACCATGGCGGGTAATTGTTGAGTTTCAATGCTTATGGCACACTGCAGCGCAAAAATACACAACGGACGTTTTAACGCTCCAGAACTTCAATTGATTATAGTGGACGCAGTAGTTCAGTACTCCTAAAATTTCACCATCTACGGTTCCTTGTGGTTTCTCGGAATTCGCGAAGATGCGACGAACTCGACCGGAATTCTGCCCTGTGACCTGAAGGTCAACAGCTGAGCCCCATAATCACTATAGACTAGTTTAACGGGCGTCTGAGATTTAAGAACTTGCTGCGAAACCCAAGGTAGTAAAAAAATGAATTCGGAGTTTCGCCACTGACGGCGTGCATAATTATATTGTGCTTTCAGCGCACAAAGTTTCAGCAGAAGTCGTAATTAAAGGTATTCACTAATCCTAATATTGTACCCTACGAGACTGTCAACTCGGCGCAGGGTAAACGTTTTAATTCCTTTATAAGCATGCACAGTATTCTTAGGATGCTGCCGCTTAAAGAATAAGGTGTAATTACGCACAAAGGTTGGCACATTCTGCTTTCTTAGCGACTTTTCTCTGCGATCGCAAATTAGGATGGCTACAGTAGGCTGCGCGAAGTGCGGTAAATACACTTCCCCAGCTGTCACTGCCAGAATTTCGTATATCCTATGTATCACATCGGGTAGCCAAAGGTGATGTGAAGTTTGTAAAGACGGCGGTGGGTGGTAACAAATATTTGTTTATGCAGATGCCCGTTAACGCTGTGGCAGTCACATTTCAATAGTGGCGAAACGGTATAGAGCCCCACGTACTGTGTGTTGTCAGTGGGCGCTAAACACCAGTTAGTCGAAATTTCCCGAGCCCTCAACATACGACGATTGTCATAAACATATCTTGCTTTCGCGACGTAAAATGCCAGGTATCATTACATGCGAGTGCATTTCTGTTTTGGAGGGGACGAGAAGTAGGTGGAAGAAAAGGGAGGAGAAAAGGGTGGAGAAAAGGGTAGAGAAAAGGGATTTATCAGACCAGCTTGATACCCTCTGCTGGGAAAGGGCGTAAGACGAATAAAAGACTATAGAAAAGAGACGTTACAAAGAAAGGGGGAAATAGAAAAAGCAGATACATCTGGGGAGCATGGCTTGGTTAATTCATACCATTTGTTGACCAACACACAGAAAATGCAATTGGATCTTGCCGGTTTCGCTAATATTGTAATAACCGGGTACCACATAGGGCTTTAGGTATCCTCTTCGAAACCGAGGGCCAGAAAAAAAGTTTTTGTAAATGGGAAAGTTTCTTTTTGTTTTCAGAGAAATTAATCTGCGTTACTTTCGTGACGTCGTCCTTGAAAACAGCTGTGCGCCAAGAGCTCTATTTCAAAACATTTCGCTCAAACATTCAAACTCCATGACCGCGTTGTGTGCAGACGGCAGTGAAGCAGAAATGAAACACACCAACTGTCTTCGTCGGGTGCAAGGCGCATAGAAGAAAGATCGAGGCGGGTTAGAGAGCAGTAACGTGCTTCTGCACCGCCCACGTCCCCCCCTGCCATATTGTGCATACTTTGAGTCCCCGTGTGTGACCCGATGCCCGCGGTCGCTGTCACCGTGTCTTTAGACGGAATCATGACACGGCTCCCACATTTGTTCTTGTTGTACTCTCCTCGCAGAGCTTGCGTTGAAGCCGTGCAATGCGCAATGATCGCTTGTCTTGCTGCAGCTGCTACGTTTCCTTACACTTTCATTGCGAGGAGTTGCGTCAGGTCATTTTGTGAAGGACAATTTTCGATCATATATATATATATATATATATATATATATATATATATATATATATATATATTCTATCTTGATGCTCTAGCATTCATCGCTTAACATTTGCATTTGCGGTGAAACTGTGGCGTTTCACAGCGTATCCGTAAAAGCCTATTAGTAGTAGTAGCAGTAGTTGTTGTTGTTGTTGTTGTTGTTTTAGGAGTAGCAGGCGCTGTACGACTCATGCAGATCACGTGAACTGAAGGAAAAGGGAACAAATAAATAAATAAATAAATAAATAAAAGGTAATGAAAGTGATCCTTCAAATGCTGACGATGATGATTGATACGAGGATGATCACAACGATAAGTCACATACAGACTCGTGCTTACAGCTTTTCTGTCGGAGGCTTTTCACGGCATGCAACTGACAGAATATTTTTTTCTTTTGTATTCCTGCTTAGGAGCTGCTGGCGCAGGCGCACTTCAAGAGCAAGGTTGCCAAGGCGACGCAGAGCCGACGCATGTCCCTTCCCGTGAACAGCTTCAGCCGGGACCAGCTGAGCCCGGTGTTCAGGCCAAAGGGCGCACGGAAGAGGACAAGCTGTGCGGTCTCCTAAGGCAACAACGAGGGAAGGACCAACCAAGAATCTCAGTGGCCAGATGTGATTCCTCACCCAGTATATCCAACACGTGCCAGTCGATGTTTTAACTGAGAGCAGGCGGAAGGGTTGCAATACTCTACGCGTGACCGAGTCACGTGATTTTCCGGGCGAGAGCAGTGATTCATGTTACCTGTTCTATCACTCCATGAATGTACTCTCTCTCTCTCTCTCTATTTCGTTACCATCTTCTGGTGCTCGTTTTCCAATCTTGATCGGTGATGCAGCACTGCTTGGAGAACGAAGCTGTATACCTTTTTCAAAAGTAATGTTCAATATTCTATAGAACTTCTACAGACGATTTAAGAAGATGATATGAATATTCTGCATGTGTCCCAGGAATTAACTCGGCAAGAGTTCCCCGTAATTACGTCCATTAATGTGAGCAAATTTTTCATGACGGACAAGTGTTGATGTTAACTGTTAAAAGACTAATTGAAATCGGTGGAACAGGCTTTCTGTCGATGCCCAGTCGACACTTTGCGGAAATGGTTATTCAATGTGTTTGCGAATACATCAAGATCGTCTCAGTTCGGCATGTGTTCAGAAACAATGCAATATGCTAAAACTTGCATGAGCTAGTCATAAAGTTTCTTACAAGATTTACCACGGGGAATTCTGGCGCAGCTATCTTTGAGCCACCACGCGATGAATACATGGAGTTGCCCAGCATCTGCGCTTGCTTCTTCAAGCAAACTTGTGGCGTTATTTATTGCTGGATTTTGACTTCTGTCTCGGATGAAGGGAGGGCTTGTTGGGAAAGCCATGAGTGTTTTTGAATTTGTGAGCCCATAAGAATGAACGTACGAAAATGGGACTGTTAACGTTTTGATCAAATTCTTCCAGCGACAAATAGGCCACTGACCACACGCAGCCTAACGAACGAAGTTTGAGCAGCGTCATGTACAACCCGCCACTGCCATGACGGCTGAAGTGCCATGCATTGCAGTTTCGATAGACTGTTGTGCCTGATTTCCCTCTAGTACTGTTACGTAACTATATGGACTAAGCTATGTTCTTATAACCTCAGCCAGTGTTGCGGCTTGTGAGAAGCAAAAGAACATACCACATAAAGAGTCTGTGGACAATCTGTTTACTGCTGCTTCGATCTTGTTTTGCGATATCTGTCAGACGTAGTTGTGGCATTCTTGTTCGGCGCGTGCTCCCAAATAACAGGCGTCATCTGACTACAACCACGTATCTCATGCAAATGTTCGTATTGTCGCCTTTACTTACCTTGCATGCAATGTACACCTTCCTGCAGCCAACTAAGCTTCATTCGTTCACCCCACTCGAACGCAGCAGCTGGGAAAGGTTCCTGAAAAGCGAAATATATACAATACCGCACGCCGTTAAGATGCAAATATATCCTCCTCCGTTGGGTGTTAGTGAAAGAGTTTCTGTTTGACTTCTCACCCATTGCATTGGGGAAGTTCACACAGCAACTCTCGTTTTCGAGGTCGTTTGAGTTTTAGCACACTTCTCGTCATCACAATGACCACGTCCCGTTCGTACCAAGGTTCACCCTTTCTGATTTTCTTCCTATACTCCCACGGGCTGTTCCCTGGTCCTGCTTTCTTCGTGCGTCCAGCATATTCATCGTCGAAAACAGTGGAAGTATTCAATGGTCACACATTACCACCCACAAAGGAGCGTATTATTGTTATTCCCCACCCACAAATGAGCGTGTTATTGTCATCCCGATCAGCGCACGAAGAATGAGCACGAGATCACAAGGAAGTACACGACACGACAATTGTTTTCGTGTTCATTTTTTGTGCCCTGGTCGCGTTACGAGGATGTTTCAACTAGCCCAATTTGCTACTTTACTGCGTGTTATTCTCCCCTGGTATTTCCCGTCTTTGCGTCACCCTCTATGACACCGGCAGTTTGTTTGCGTGACGTTAGGATGAAATAAGCTCTCGATTGGTCATTACGAGAGGTGTCTCTTTAAATTGTCTCCTGCCTTGCTTATCTGTGCATACAAATGCTCGTATTGCCTTGTCTCACATAACTATTGTGGGCGATAAACTTGAGTTCACTTCGTTTTCTACGTGTGCCCCTGCGCATGCGTAGATCACAGCTTGCAGTCGACAAGCGCGAACTCCTGACTGACTAACCGCTTAGTGCTGCGATACCATGTGTTTTATGAAAAATGAAGTGACAAGGATTGATACATATGTGGGGTTGAACGTGCCGAAACCACCGTATAATTATTGATTATAAGAGACGCCGTGGTGGAGGGCTCCGGAAATTTAGACCACCTGGGGTTCCTTAACGTACCTCCAAATCTGAGCGCACGGGCCAGCAGCTTTTTGCCTCCACCGAGAAGTGACGAGGAGGAGATATCCCTTGTCGGAAGGGTAGTGAAAGTGAAAAAGAAATTACTGTTTCGCTTTCGAACTCTGTTCATTGTAAGGACCGTTTGAAACTAGATGCGATAAGAAAAATTGTGCTATATCATTGCGCATAAATAGTCTGAAATCTAGCAAACCAAGAGTCCTTCTTACCTCAGAGGACCGAATATGCACGTTAGAAGTGGCTTAAGTTTCGAGTTATTGAGTGAATCAAACGGATATTTCGCCACCATTCCTGTACCACAGCGAAAATTCCGTTATAGTCAAGGCGTGCTTCGAATAGGGATCTCTAATTACCTCTTGAATATTGAAAAACAATATTTCATTAGCGACTTGAAAGTTAGTGTCCGCATACCGTACTTTCTATCATGCAGCTTCATCCTGTTCGATTTTGTTTTCTTCCTGGAGCAAATCTGCCACCGAGTGCGTATACCAGGAAAGTCAAATTTGCGCCCCTGGAACATTTTCCTATTGGCTCCGTTCACACAAGACTATCTTGGTCCCATGTTTGTTGCTTAATAAATATATTGATAAGCTACGCAGACCCTCCTGTTATTGAGCATATTTCTTTCTTGAGCTACCGTATGCAGTCACCGTGTGTTGAAACAAAAGCTTTATTTAAAAAAAACCTTCCCGATTTCTGCCATTCCAGAGATCAATAAGACTTTTTCTGGAATAATGACGTCTAATACCCGTCTAAGATAGACTACGTTAAGCATAAATGTCCTCTTAACGTCTGAAAATCTTCTAATGACAAGAAAGACTGAAAAAAAGGAGAGGGGGGGGGTGGTACTTCATTAGAATCTTACGAATTTAAAAGAGGGTGCAGGAAATAGAGCTGGCGCTTTAGTTTTTGGAAGGAAAATAATATTTAAAAGATGACATTCGCAAAAAAACGAGGGCACAATACATCAAAATACCAATAAAGGCGAGAGAAATAAACCTTTCAGAGTTGGTTTGGCACCGATGAGTTTTCTTTTTTGGTATATGCCTTTGCTGAATGTCAGATTGAAATTCTTTACGATACACTAAAGCCAAAAAACAACATGAATAAATCTAGCCAGCAGGCAACGCTGTATTTTTTATTCGTCGTGCCTCTTCCGTTCCCTTGTTTAAATAATATTTGCCAAACGTTTGCAAAACAAAAGCACACTAGGGCCCCTTCGTGATAGAATATAAATCAGAGTCAAACCGGAAATGAACGCTGGTGTCAAACGCAGGCAGGACTTGAACAAGGGAAAAAAAATGGGTGTTCAGTTCGCACCACAATCTGCGGTGGAATCCTCCGAAAAAATAAAGAAGCAGCTAAAACAAATTTTAAGATATCTTCGTGCTTGATAAGAAAGTGTTGACGTAGTCGACGCACATGGTGGTTTTTGCTTGTTTCAGAAGGAAACTGGATTTAGGTGGATTGAAGTTGGTGTTGTTAACGCAGAGAAACGTGAAGAAAAAAACAACTCTGCAGATACTATAAATAAAAAGAAGTGCAAAATGTGGAAGTAAAGCAGTACTGATGTTCTGAGAGGTCTCTTGTATTGCAAAATAAAAAAAAAAGCTAACTGAGGAATGACACCCAGGTATTTCTATGCCCGAAACGAGAAATTCCTGCACGAAGGTACTGTTGCAAAGTTTCAAACACTTGACATTACTTTCTTGGTGATGCCTCGTAGAACTCTGTCGCTATCTCACAAGCTCGCACTTTATCGAGATTTATAAAGCACTCACGGTACTTGCATAGTGATAGCAGTTTGCTTCACAGTATTGTTGAAAAGAAAGGACAATGTCTGGTTGTTGCTGTTTTTTTTTTTAAATCTGGGCTTTCACATTTTGATTCAGTGATAGTTTTTTGACATCGTCATTTGCGAAATCTGAAAACGTGGATAGTGTCCAATCTAGATTCATGCTATATATAGTTCATTGAGTGGTAATTGGTCGGAAAATTGTGTTCTCGTGTGGTGCAACAGCTTCTTGTTTTGTATACACCTAACAAATATTTGCTGAGTAGTTAGTGAGTCGATCAATCAGTCGGACAAGTTTTGATTATTACTACTACAGGCCCTTCGACATGGGTCCGAACGTGATGGTCTGGATGAGGGCATGTGTGAATGCACTTCGCTGTGTACATTGAACGCATTAACCTTTACTGTACCAATGAAATGCAAGATATGAATCACTGCTTTAAAGCATCACTTGACACAAGCCCACGAAGAAAGCTTTCTGTATCAGGTGTCACACAAGTCGTAACGACAAACCAAACTTTCGTCTGAAAACACGAGCTATATTGAAAAAAAAAACTTTACATTTTCAGCTTCAAGGGTACACCAAATTTATATTCATATAAAAACATTTTGTTGTTGCTTCATCTTAGTTATTTCATGAAGGTTTTTACGGTTACAGTACAGTTGATGGCAATTTACTGGCGAGCATATGCAATTTTTCCGTAGCATAAAGCTATCACCAGCCTACCGCAGTCCCTCGTAAGATCTCAGGTCAATTCTGTGTTTTCGTGAGTTCGGATATTTTCAACTGTAAAGTTCTACATCGAGTACTTTATAAAACGCAATACACTGATATACATAGTCGTATATCTTCAATGCCAGT